GTGTTTATAGGCTGAGGTTTTGTGGCCTTAGAGATAGGAGTTGAAAGTTTCTTTGTTATTGCAGAATGCTCATCTTTGACTTGTACAGGTTTTCTAAACGAATTAACCTTAGATTGAACAATTTGGCCACGATAAGATCCAAGCACAGGTTTCTTGAGCACGTTAGCATCTTGCTTTGGTTTTTCTGTAGTCACTTGTTTCTTTTTATTATTGTTTTTAATGTGAAACGCTTGGCTTAATGTCATACGTTGACCTTGGCGATCATTTGTAATTGGTAACAACTGCAGAGTTTGATTATTCTCCAAGTTATATATATCAGTGGCTATAGTTGAATTGGTTAATTCATTAGAAGGTTTTAACGGAATACAATTTTTTCCCATTGTTACATTATTTTTGCTCCTTGTAGGTCTATGGACATTTTCTTTATCAGCCATTTTTGTCTTAAGTTTCAGAACTTTTGTCTCTTCTTGGACCAGACCCTCAGATGTCATCATTCCCTCGTTTCTACTGGAGAATTTCTGATTTTCCTATTTGTATGCAAAAAGAGTTTTTCTTTTAAACAGATGCTCCTTGAGTTTTTATTTTCTTTGCTCTCTGAAGGCGAACTGGGCCCCTGTGACTTGGGGGAAGCTGCAGGTCGCCTGGAACCGCTGGGGTCTTCTGGAAAAAAGAATACACTGTCACCAAATAAACTTGTTAATAAAGTGACTGCTAGTTTATCTCCTGCATGGTATCTATGGGTTATACCTTTCTATTTTATCCATAGGCAGGAAAATTCATTCTACATTTCATAAACCAAAGAAGAGTGAGAACAAAACAGACATTCTAAAATGACATCTAACAATTCTTTTTAAAATATATTCTTATTTATTTCAGACAGGAGGTGAGAGGGAAAAAGAGAGAAAAATATCAATGATAAGAGAGAACCATTGATTGATTAGCTGCCTCCTGCAAACCCCCCCACTGGGGATCAAGCCCACAACCCAGGCATGTGCCCTGATTGGAACTGAACTGTGAGCTCCTGGTTCATTGATCATTGAACTGTGACCTCCTGGTTCATTGATCAATGCTCAACCACTGAGCCACGACAGCCAGGCTGCATCTGACAATTCTTAAAGACAGGTTCTCTATTGCATTTTAGATTATATTCCTATATACTATAGAAAATATGTAGACAAAATTTTATCTATCCTCTGATTCGCATCCCTCCCCCCAAAATATAGGAAGAGGACAACTTGAAGATTATAAACACTGTTTGGGTGAAGAAAACACCACTTGAATTTTAAAGTACTTTTCCTAATGCTAATTTTGACCATAAAAAAAAAAGATAAGGGAGAATTATATCAGTCAAGACAGACTAGGTTATGGTGCTGTAATAAACAATCTCAAGCCTCAAATGGCTTAAAATAGTATATTCATTTTCTATTGCTGCTCTAGCAAATTACTACAAACTTAGTGGCTTAAAATAACACAGTTTTATTATCTTAGAGTTCAGGAGGTCAGAGGTGTGCAATGGGTTTCACTGGGCTGAACTCCTTCTGGAGGCTCAAGGGGAAAATCTACTTCCTTCCCTTTTCCAGTTTCTAGAAGCCACCTGAATCCCTTGGCCTCATCCTATAGCTTCGAAGCCAGCAATCACACCATTCCAACCTTTGCTCCATTAACATTTCAAGGACCCTTGCAAATACAAAAGGCCAACCCAAGATAATATGTAACCCAGTCTCAAGGTCCTTAACTTTTGCAGACCATATCTGCAAAATCTCTTTAGCCATGTAGAGTAACAGGTTCCAGGAATTAAGACATGGACATCTTTGGGAAGACATTATTCTGTCTACCAAAAACAGCTCCTATTTGTTTCCTGCTCACGCCACATGCAGGGCCCATGGTAATCAGTCAGCCAACCAAGCTTCAGAGCAGCAACTCTCGCAACACCAACTACAACAGGGGGGAAAAGAGAACTCTCAAAAGCAATCAAATGCTTAGTTGTCAAGTCATACAAATCGTTCTGTTTACGATTCATTGCTCAGAGCCAATCACATTGTCTCACATGATTTCAAAGTGTCACCACACCATGTGAAAGGAGGCGGAACCTGAAATACTCGATGAATGGGATTCCTATCACAGACCTGGTCTCATACCCAAATCCTCTGATCACCCACATTACCCATGCAAATTGTATTTTTTCTGCATCAAGAGAAACTGTGCTTGTCATTAGTGCTCTTCACCATTCAAATTACCATTTAGATGCCTGTCATGATCAGACTAATTCAGAGCCACACGTAGAAAGGAAATTTAAAAGATGTTCTAGATATCTTCTATGAGGAAACCCTAAGAGAGGTGGACAGTAGTAGTGAATAACCCAATAAGACTAAGGTGTGCTGGAAAAGTCTTATTTCTGGCTCTGAATGTTTGTTTCTTGGGTTTTCACTTTATAGTTATTAAGCCACATGTATTTTATTCATTTTTCTGTATGTAATAGTTTACAATAAATGAAGAAAAGTTATTAAGCTCAAAAGTTATTAAGCTCAAAGATAGTACATTCTATGCATAGCCTATATTATTTCAATTTAGGGAACTCAAATTATAATCTTTCCAAAGTCAAGTCAAGCTATCTTTCAGAAAAGCTATCTTCTACAGTCAGTTGCACAGAGAAGTTAGTAGCATTCTGATGCATTTGTACTGCTGACAACCAAGTCAGATAAAAAATGATTGACTTTCATTTATCTTTAGCTGATGTAGCCAGAAGCAAAATATTTGAATGCTGTGCTTTGAGTAGCCAATGACACGGCAGCAGTTACTACTGCCCCCACTCAGCTCTTGATTCTCTTCAGGAGAAGAGATGTCTTATCATCACTCTTCCCAAATCAGGTGATTATATCTAAAAGAGGGTACATTTATGAGAGTTCCTCTGCCATTTAGCAAATCTGCTGATTAAAGCTGCAGCTGTGAAGTCCCTCATGGGCACTGTGCCTCAGCTGGACACATGACAGAAATACTTGATAAAGAATGACTCGAGGTGTAAGAGCAAATTGCATAGGAGAGCAGATTGATTTTTTATTTCATAAGTTCAAGCTACTGACTCCACTTTCAGTGTTGTAAACTGAGACTCAGAAAGGGTTGCTAGGTGGCCTAAGGTCTCAAGTCCAGTGAAGAGAGAAGATGAGTCTGGATTCCTGTTGCCCAACACCCTGACGAATGTTTTTCCTTTCATGCTAACTGTACTCCCTGCACCCAAATTTGGAGGCTCTCGTGCTCATTACTGTCTTTATTTTTCCCCTCTTGTTTTAAACCCTACACTTTAGAGTTGATCCCACTTATATCACCATTAGAATTACACAGAGTTAGTTCTTTCAGGGGTCAGAGTCCTCAATGGAAGTGAAAAAAAAAAAACATTTTCAGAAGGAAATGGATATAAAATGTTAAGTGTTAGCATAAACTACTAGCTAAGAAAATCCAGCTTAATTTCTTAGTACTGGATTAGCACTTTCAAACTGTTCGTGACAGTTAAATAGCCCGAAGATTAAAAAGCAAGCAGCCTTACTCCGGATTAGCTCATTTGAAAATTTTATGAAAATGCAACCAGACCTTTTTAATGGCATTTGTTACCCATTATCTTTCCTGTATTTGACTGCTAACTTCATAGAAAATGAAAATGATAAATTTAATGATTGAAGTATTTCAAAACAGCAACCAGTACAGCCTACATTTTACCTCTCTCCCCAGCGGCAGAGTATCTATTATGCACAGTTGGACAAACCATTGGGTCCCCAAATGCAGAGAATAGTCCTCTTATCTCCCTGTGAATCATGCACTGAGAATGAGAACAGCAACATTATACACAGTGTGCATTCAGAGGTTATGTCTGGATATAATAAATTAAATATTGAGTAGAAATGTGGGTACTGAAGATGGAAATGTCAGGTGCATTTAAATGGACTCTAGAAATTCACATAGAAAAAAATATTTTCTTCAGGATTCATCTCATTCTTGAAATAGGACCCTCATGAATAAAACTAAAGTTTGCTGTTTACTATATTTTCTCCATCCTCACTACTTTTCCCACTCCATAAAACCATTTTCTGTATAAAACCTTGTTAATTATCTGTAAAGACCTTACACTTGGATGTAAGCTCCCTTGTGGTGTATTGAAGAAGCCACCCATGATGGTCTTTCTGTGTAATTCTTCAGAATTTTAGAATGTACCTGGAGCTCATCTTATTGAATAAAAGCTACACACCTACACAAGACAATTGAACTAAATCTATGTTTCATGTTAAAATGAAATGGGCTTTACACCACGGCCGGTGTTCTCTGTAGTTACAGCATTGCCCTGTGCATGGACGGGTCATAAGTTTGATTCACAGTCAAAGGCAGGTACTTGGGTTGCTGGTGCAATTACTGGCCCCATTTGGGCCGGCAACCAATTGTTGTGTTTCTCTCCCCTCCTTCTGCCCTCCGCTGTACTCTCCCTAAAAATCAGTGGAAAATATATCCTCAGTTGAGAATTAACAAAAGAAAAGAGGAGGTGGAAAGATGGCGACTGGCAGGAAGTTCAGGAGGGAGAGAGTGTGAGAGCACGAGGGAGTGATAGAGGAGTGTGTGGATATGTGGCGTGTGTGTGTATGAGCTAGGGACAGCTAGATTCTACAGGTCTTCTAAGGGGTTGCTAAACCGGGCAGTCTTAGACAGCGGAACCCTGCTCCCAGCGAGGACACTAGTGGGTGGCCAGCGCAGGCACAGAGACCACGCCATCTTGAGAAACAGAGCTGCTTGAGACTAGGATTCTGGCCTCAGCACCACACAGTATGGACTCAAACACAAACCAGAACCCTGCAGCCACTGGGGACAGAGACCTGCGAACACAGCTATAGACCCACGGACACCAAGAATCCAGACATCCCAGCGGCAGATCTCTGTGAGTAACAGAGCCCACCCCCCTCCCCGCAGGCTCACGGGCAGTGCCATAGTAACTGATAGACCCACCCCTCGCCCAGGCCTCAGTGCTGCTATAGGAATCTTAGCCTGGAAGCACTCAAACACTGGGAACTTGCTCCCCGAAGCACGGGCTACAGGAATCTTAGCCGGGGAGCTAATGCACGAACACTGGGAACTTGTTCCCCACAGCATGGGCCCCGGGACCCCGATTCTCCGGGCAGGAGGCAGCACCAAGCACCAGTGACTTGACTATGTTTCCTATCACCTGCGCTTGGGATCCCTGATTCCCTGTGCATTCACACTAAGAGCCAGTGACTCCAATTATTGGTGCATGTGCATACAGGGACCCTGATTCTCAATGCGAGGCCGCGCGAAGCAACAGAGACTCTGATACTGGATTCTTGGGGAACTCTGACTCCTGGTGCATGCTAGGGGGCTCTGATTTTCAACACACTCAAGGGGGGTTTCAGCACGGTGCAGGTGGGGTCCCTGATTCTAAGTGTGCACACAAGGCCACATTGAGCACTGGTAACACTGACTCTGAGCGATCCTGTTTCCCACCAACCCACCACAACCACACATCTTAGTATCAGAGCTCTTCAGTACAACTAGGGTGGTGCAAAGCTCCCACTGCACACGGCCCAGGCCCACACAACTCGACGTTTGAACCATCTGGAGATAGTAAGAATGGGGAGATGACAAAATCCCCAGAGAAAAGAAAATGAGGAGTCACCAAGAAAGGAAATTAATGAAATTG